ATGTGGAGTAAATTTCTTATAAACAGCAATTAGTTGGGTCTATTATGCCAATCTCTGTCTTTTAACAGATATATTTAGGTCATTTACATTTAATGTAATTACTGCTATGTTAGGTGTCAAACTACAGAATCCCTACCTCTTTTTAAGTCCTGTTACCTCCCCCATGGAAAACATTATTATCTCAAATGTTTCCTCTTCATGTGTGGAACCACATCGGACTGTGTCACATTTTTTTCTTCAACCAGACATAATTTTGAAAACTCAAGAAGAAGGGGAAAATTACTGTATCTACCACTATTTTTGCTTTTCCTGTTTTTTCCTCCCTCCTGATGATTCAACTTTCCTTCTTTTGTTTCCTTTCTGTTCAGAGAATTTCCTGTGGCTAGTCTCTTAAGGTAGGTCTGCTGGTGACAGATACTCATAGCTTTCCTTCTCTCTCTGTGCTTTCAGATTGTTTTCTTTGTCTTTAGTATTTAGAAGTTTGACTACGATGTATCTTGGCATGGACATTTTGGGGGTTTATCCTATTGTGAGTTCGCTCAGATATTTGATTCTGTAGGTTTACATCTTTTGCCAGATTTGGGAAGTTCTCAGGCACCATTTCTTTGACTGCTTTTTCAGCCTCGCCATCTCTGTCCTATTGTCCTGACAATATATGTGTTGGGTCTTTAGTGGTAGCTTTGCAGGCCCTGGGGACTCTGTTCATTTTTTTTCCAGTATCTTTTCTCTGTTGTTCAGACTAAATTATTTTCTATTGTCCTGTCTCCCAGTTCACTAATTCTTTCCTCTGCCCCTTCATTCTGTGGTTCAGCGCATCCATTCATTTTTTTATTTTGGCTATTGAATTTTTTCCATTAAAAAAATTTCCGTTCGGTTCTTTTTTATACCTTCTATTTCATGTGTTCCCTGCTCATGATTGCTCATTAGAATTATTTTTATCATTCCTTTAAAAGTGTTTTGGATAATTCTGACATCTCGGTATTGGTATTTCATTTAGTTTGAGACAGAGTTTTCATTGAAATGTAGACATCTTTGGTATTATATTATGAGACTGGCTTTTATTTAAATCTTTTGTTTCACCTGATTTTCTCTGTGGGGAGGAGGGTACACGGCCTCTTACTGCCTCGAGGGGGTGGAATTCTAGCTCCCCACTCTCCCTCCACTGACACCTGAGCATGGGAGAGTCCGCGTCACAGCTGGTTGCAGGTAGTGGAGTTCTGAGTACCCACCAGACCTACACTGAGAGCTCCCTGGCTGGGAAGGAGCGGGGAGCCTTGTGACGCTCTGAGTGTTCCTTGCCCTACCTCCACCGACACTCGGGGTGGGAGGAATGCTCCCTCAAGGCAGTGGTGAAAGTCCTCACTCCCCACTAGGCCTCCTCTGATAACTCCAGTGGGGACGAGGAGGGACGCCTTGTTAACGCCAGGTGGGAGTGGAAGTCCAGCTCCCCACGTGGGCTTCCACTAACACCAGTCAGTGGCCAGCAGGGATGAGTCCCAGCTCTCTACTCGGCCCTCTCTGATACCACAGGAGGAACAGCTGTCATCTCTTTTGAGAAGGGGGAACCATGGTATTTTCTGTGTTGTTTACCTGGAAGAGAGCGGTTTATTGTCTAAAAGTCTTCGATCTTGCTGAACTGGCCCTTTTCTGGTCCTCTGACTAGAGAGAACAAGCCTTAGACTTAGCCTTTCCAAATTGAGACAGTGAGGCAAAAGGAAAACCCAGGAATTCACCACCATGGTGACCTCGAGTCCCAAGGTCCCTAGTCAGTCTGCCTTTTCTTCACTTTTCAGGGTTTTTTGTTTTTTTTTGTTTTTAATGTCTGTTTTATATGTAATACCCAAGGTTTTTGTAGGAAGATTATGGAAAAGTACATCTGTTTGTGGAGGGAATTCTTTGCCCTCTGTCCCTTAGAGAGACAAACTATTCTTTGCTTTTCCAGAGATAGTCATGTTTTGAAAGGAAATAATTTTTCTTTTGGAAGAATGGCTTTTTATGAAAGAAGTTCAGATGTGGGTGGGCTGGGGGGGGTACATGTTGGGGTGGTATGGTGGGGGAGCCACACCTGGAGCCTGGGAGTGTCTCCTGGTCTTGGGAAAGCCACGTCTGGCTACTGGGAGGACCCGCCCCAGGCTCCAATGTGGGGGCTGCTGTAGGAGCATGGCCAGAAAGGCTTCCCTTGGCATCTTTCTGTTGCACTTGGTGTGCTGCCAAAGGGAAAAGAGAAGGAAAAGTCCTGGTAAAGTAAACGTGTATTTCTGCCTCCCTGAAGAGGCCACATGGCCTGGCAGCATAGCTGTTTTCTGTAAGCACAACTAGCTGCGCTTTCGAGAGAAGTCAGAATGGGCATTTCATGTTATGGGAATAATGGCTGCCATTTGCTGCCTGTCCATGCACACCGAGCCCAGTGCGTGATCGTGGGCAGTCTCCTGCTCTCACCTCTGAGGCTGTCGGTTTCACCTGTCTGACTCGGCGATGAGCAGACTGAGTCTCAGAGGGACAGGTGGCTTGCATAAGGTCCTCTGGTTGAATGGGGCTTTGCCTTGCACCTTGGGTTCCAGAGTTCCTGAGCTCAGCACCCTCCCAAGCCTGTGCATTCACACCCGGGCTCTCTTCCTGGGGATTCTCGGGCTGGACCCGTGGGAGCCCCCCGGCCAAGGTGATCTGGGCCACTGTCTCCATTCCCTAGGGCAAGCGTCTGGTCCTGGTGGTGCATTGCAATCACTAGGAGGATGTCCCCAAAATCCCACCTGATGCCGCTCCCATGCACTCCAGCTGTTGGGGAAGCTGGGCATAGGAGCTCAGAACCCTCCTGGAGATGGCTGGTGTTCCCCTGGATTGTAGACGAGGACAGAGGTGGGGGGATGTTGGAATTAGGTTATGGCAGCATTGGTGCCCTGAGACGGGGTCTGCAGCTCCTGGGAAATTTGTTTTGCAAAGCACTTCTACCAAGAAAAAGTCAAGTGCCAAGATGAAAAGTGGGGTTCAGGATGAAGGGGACAATGAGGATCTACATAGAGCCCTTGGGACCTTGGTTATTATCCCACTGCTGATGCATGTGCAGGGGGTGGGGGGCTCTGCATTTTTGGAGGCCTGTGTGGGGGGAGAACCCGGGAACTGGGGGGTCACCTGATAATCATCCATTGCCTCTACCCAAAGGCCTGAGCCCTTTGCTCCCCCTCTGTGAGTGCTCACAGGGGTGGCTCGCTGAGTGTGCTGGGGTCCCGGTGCCCCCGACCCACCCTTCGCCCAGCCTGTGGGGGTGACAGTGAACTTTTTGGGGCCCGGCTCCAGCTGGGGTTTGCAAAATGATACTTGGTTAGGTTTATCTGATTAAAGTGCCATCAGGCACAGTCAGTCCTTGTGTATCTGGAGTACAAGTGTAACTGGGGCATCCTGTTTGTATCTGGCAGCCCTGTGTCCCCAGAGCCTGCGGAAAGTCTGACACCAGCGCCATGTCTCACCTCCGACTTCACTGTCTTCACTGAGCAGGCCTTCACCCCCTGCGTCCCCACCACCACCCAGCAGCTGTGACCTCCCAGCACATGCAGGTCACCACTCACACCCTCCTTTCCAGCGAGGCCCCTCCCAGGTTGTGTCCAGTGGCTGGGTGCATTCATTCCAATTAATGTGGCACGTTTTCGACTTGCAACTTGGGGACAGTCAGACTATGTGACCTCAGGCGAAAGGTTTTTTAAAGGTTTCCAGTGTCGTTGCTGTTCTTTCTCAGTAGAGGATGCTTGGCTTTTGCATAAAGTAGAAAATTTCTGTTTGTTTGGAGTCTGGCCTCAGCCAGTGGAGGTGGGGGACAAGTCCTTAAACCAGGTGACAGGGGAGCGGTCTGGTTAGACCTTTCTCCCAGGGCGACAGGGCCATGTGCACACATGGGACTCCAGAGGCCACAGGCCTTTCTATGAAGCACAGAACCTGCCACCGCAGGGGCTGCTGAACAGCAAAGCCAGGCAGGCGGCAGGCCAGGCAGGCGGCAGGCCAAGGGCACCGGGCAGCACCCACCCCAGGTGTGTCCGCTTCCTGCCCACACATGCTCTGTGGTAGAAGCAGGGACCCCTGGGAGTTCAAGGACACTGCTCGGCCCTGCTGCCTCACCAAGGTGCTGAACTTCAGAGAGCAGGGGTGGCCCACGGGCTGGCCTCCAGTCCAGCTCTGACCCCATCACTGCTTCTGGACTGTAAGCAGGCTCATGGCACAGGACACCCAGAGCGAGGGAGATTAAACGGGGCTCGCCCCCTGCACCCTCCCCCTCCCAACCCTTCTGCACCCTCCTCAGCTGTGATCTGAGGGTTCTGGACAATCTGAGACTTGAGCTAGAGGAGAATGTGTATGCCAGCCTTGGGGAGGTCCCTCAGAGCCCTGGGCCATTGGCAGCAAGCCTACAGGTGTGCTTTTTCCTCTCTGGCTGCATTCACCCTGTTCTAGGGTCGTGTTCCCTGTGCCTTGTCTCAGGCACACCGCCTTGGTGATCTCACACGCCCCAACGAGGCCCAGACATTCCTACATTAGGCAGCCAACGGCCCAATTCAGGCACAAGCAACACAGCGTCAGCTAGCATTTGCGCAGTGCTCCGAGGCACTGTGTACCTGATCATCCCCACATCCCCATCTAGCCCGGCTCCCTGGAGGCTGTGTTACAGTGCAACGGACCGGGAGCTCTGAGCAGCACCACCCCAACCCGTCTGCTGCTGTGCAGCAAACATTTGTGAACTTACAGGTGGGTATGCGAAAACAGCTTCAGCACTAGTGGCCCGTAATTGACCACTTCTGAGTCGGAGAGACTAAGGCCCTCTGACATCTCTCTAGCTGCGTGGTTAGGGCAGGGCGGCTGCCTCCGAGGCAAGTCCCACCCCCAGCCACAGCAGTGTCCCTATCCAGACCACCTCTGTTCCCTGCCTGCCCTTCAAAACACTGTCCGCATCATACCCAATGTGGCACATTAGATGGAGCATGTCAGCTCCATCTAATGTGCCACATTGGGTGCAGAGGATGCCGCCCCCAGCCTTCAAGAAAGCTGAAGACAAATTTGTTCAGAAGGACAAGGCGAAGCCACCTGGGACAGTGGGCCGTGTCCCTGACCAGGCCTGTCCCCTTCTGCGCACCAGAGGGAGATGATGAAGGCACAATCTGTCTTTAAGAAGCTGACACTGGAATTGGTCAAGGCTGAGTGGCGATTGGTGACACATGGGCACACGACATGGGCACGTCACCACGTCATTCCAGGACTGGAGGAGTGTGGGTCCTGGAGTTGGCAAGTGCAGTTGCTGGAACACCTGTCTGCCACTCTTGGGCCCAAGCCGGAGGCCACTTACCCAGGGTTGTCTGTGAGGCTGAACCTCCCACTCACTGCCGTCCAGGCTGCACATGGAAATGACTTTGAAAGCAGGTGGAAGGGGCAGGGAAGGAGAAGGTGTCTTGTGGATTCCAGAGGCAGCCCCTGTGCGTGCTTGCCTCTCTATGCGTGCTTTGGAGACAGGACGGAGTTCTCGCTCTGTCTCCGATCGCAGGTGTTGTACACCTCGCTCTCTAATTAAACATCGTCTCCACAGTGGCCGTCGTCAGGCCAGCAATTTCCCTGTTGTCACTTTGAAGGCGAGTTCGCAGGAACAAGTTAACAAAATTGAAAAGTTGCAAATTTTTGGTCTGACCTCATCCCACTGTCACGTCCCCCAAAATAACATTAAAGTTTTCCACTTCTGGGAGGAAAAAGCAGGGGAGGAGCACCAGACAACTGAAGCAGTCAGAACAGTGAAAAATTGGCAGCTTAAGGTATAATTTCTAAATGATCGTTGCCCTTAGGTCCAAAACCATGAAAGATTTTCATTTTGCCATTTTTTAAGTTTTCCATACTTATTCAGTTCCTGACTGTGGCAATGGCAACACCCCCTTCTCAAAAAAAAAGTGCAATGTGGACCTCACCAGCCCCGTGGACCTCCGTCTCAGGCCTGCATGTCATCAGTTCTCACGTTCTCTGCGGCAGCTCTCTACTAACTCAGCACAAAATGAGGAAACAATACAAGGAATAGTAGTTGACACTGCCGGAGCACTTACTGCGACCCAGTCCTAGCCATCCCGCCTGTACTTCTAGCAGCAGTCCTGGGGGCACAGCTGTCCCACCCCCACGTTCCCCATAGGGATGCTGGACATGGCCTGCGTTCTAACGACCACTGCTGAGAGCTCCCGGGCTCTGAGACTGTGTCTTGCGTGTCAGGTCGGGCTGACCTTTCTCTTGTGAAATGGTGGCAAGGTGAGGATGCGGACATGCTGGCCCCTCTTCTATCTCTGGTGCCCCGCCACTCCCCACCGCCTCCTCGCCGGTGCCCTCCGCACAGCTCTGATCTCCTCCTTGGCCCGCTCAGAAACCTTCCCGCCATCCTGCTGCTCCCACCGGCTTGGGGGCTCATGGGAATGCCAGCCCAGTTTCCAGACTCTCCACATCCCGCCACCGCTGCCCTAGAAAGCTTGTCCACCCTCTTCTCATTCATGCCTTTACTTATTCCTTCAACATACGGATTTTGAGGCCTCCTTGGACTGGCTGCGGTGTGGCTACGAGGCCTGGGGGCGTCTCTCTGTGTGTCCAGCGGGGAATGGGGCATGGAATGAGTGATCATAGCTGTTACAAAGGGGGCGGGGCAGGAAGTATCTGGAAAGGCTGGCCATCAGGGATGGGGAGAGATCAGTGAAAGCCTCTCCTACCCCCAGTTAGCCATGTCTCCCCTTCAATCCTGGGACCCTCCTCTGCTGACCCTCTCTGGGGAAGTGTCTTTCTGTGACCCGTTCGACTGTAACAGCAGATCTGAGGCCAGCATGGGCTACGTAAATATTTGTTGGCAATTAAATCGTTCTGCCAACTTCTGGCAAATTATATCATGGACATGTTAACTTTTAAACCACACATAGTGATTACAGGGTGGGTGTGGCTGCTCCCTGGCTTCAGTGACACCACCCGAGTCGGGGCCTCGCCATTAGTAGGTTCAGTTGGCAGCTCTGTTCAGAAAACTGAAGGGTAAACCCCAAACCGTAATCAGAAGTTAACTTGGCAGGGCTGAGATTACAAAACAGGTTTCCAATGTACACTTCCTAACTTGTGTAAATATTTGAATTTTTCTTTTCTTAAATTATTCACAACAGATATTTGTTACCTTTATAATGAAAAAGATCAAGTGTTTTTAAGTAAATTAAACAAACCAGAGGAATTATTGTTTGCTTCCTCCCTCCAGTTTTTGCCTTCTATGAGAGGAATGTATATGGAAAGAAAAAAAAGACAGTGATTTGGCCCAGACCCAGCTCCAGCACATGGGAAGGAGCAGAGTTAAGTTTGCCAAAGGAGGAGGCCAGGCAGACCGGGAGTGCTTATCCCTCCAACTGCAGTCTCACCAGCTCGTGATTGAATAGCGGCAACCAGCATGGACTGGATGCTCCAAAAATGCCATTAAAAAAGTGAAAAGTCCACTTGTGGTTAGCCTGTAGTTTAGGAATATCATGGGCCACAGGAAAGAGAAACATTTCTAGGTCCCTTCCAGCAGCAAGCATTTTGCTAGAAGCTCCAAGTTGTCTGTAGCTAGTGACACATGTGCACTTGGATCCCTCATTCTGAGGGATGGGTCTCTTTGTGGCAAGAAGCAGCCTTCACAAGACTACTGGCCAGTGACACAGTCTTGTGACTGGGCAGACGTGAGAAGGTGGACTCTGGTGCTGCCACCTTCCTGCCATGCCACTGAGTTGTGTATGAAGGAGTTGGAATGAGTCACAATTAGAAAAGTCTTTTTGATGGGGTTGTGAGGGTTCAGAACGAGTTACCCCAAGGCGTGTCTCTGGTATGTGGGTTGTTTGGGGCTAAGGGCATACTTATCTTCAGGCTCAGCAGAAACTTCTGCCCCTCCTCCCACTCCTAGAAGAACTTGAATGAGGAGCCATGCCCACAGCAAGGCTCATCAGTGACTGTTACCTCTCTTGACCCGTCCACAGGGCAGGCAAACTTCCTTTTACTAAACTAGCGCCCTTCTTGTCATCTCGCGATGACCCTCTGAAGGCCCCAGTCCCCTACCCCATCCCCAGCTCGAGATGTCTTATGTACCCACGTCCCTTTTCCATCATGCAGAGTCTCTGACTCTTGTGTGCGGGGTTCCCAAACATGTGCATATTAAATCGGTCATTTTCTCTTGCTACTATGCCTCATGTCTGTCTGGTCGTGAGACCAGCCGGAAGAACCCCAAGGGTACAGGACACAGCCTTCCTGTCCCACAGGGGAACTAATCTTTCTTAAACCTTCTCGAGACAGTGCTGAGTGAACACGTGCATGAGCCTGTGGGTGAGACGTGTGTTAAACTCTTCTCTTGTGTCCCTGGGACCCCAAGGGTGCCCTGCTGCCCCCTCACTGTGGCCTCACAAGTTGAGAACCCACTTGGACGAGACGCCAGTATTTAAAAAGCTAAAGATCGATCGTGTTCTGTTTTGCAGCTGTCGCCGAGGTGAGGGAAGGAACCACGCCCACCCTGCCACCTCCAGGAGGCCTGGCTGAGCCCCTGCAGGCTGACCACTCGCCATCCTCCTCTCCTACCAGCCGTGAGACCTGGCCCTCCATGCTGTTGTCACCAACAGGAAGTGCGGTCCCCCCCAAGGCCACCCCTGCCAGGTCCAGGCTCCTCCCACCTCTTGCGTTTAATCACACGGTTGGCCACATAATACTTTCTGAACACAAGGGCGTCAAGTTTAACTGCTCCATCAGTGTCCCCAATGCATACCAGGATGCCCATATTTCCTGGTGGAAGGATGGCAAAGAGCTGCTGGGGGCACACCATGCTGTCACCCACTTCTACCCAGACGACGAGGTCACGGCGGTGATCGCTTCTTTCAGGTACGTGATCTTCCTTCCTTCCTTCCTTTTTAAATGTCGCGCTTTTGATGGTTTCAAAGCAAAGCCCTCATCCACGAAAAGCAGCCTTTTGTCTCAAGCCCGCTGGCCACTCCAAATGTGGATGAGCAGCGGATGGTCAGGGCGGTGGGTCTCTTCAGCCGATCTTGGCCCCATGAGAACTGTTGCCTGTCAGGTGCTCGGGGCCCAGGGTCTCCCCCAAGTCCTACCAATTCTGTCACGTCCTGCTGGAGCCCAGGGCTCTGCGGTGAGAGGGGACACCATTCCTCCTGGGCATGAGGACACATGGAAAGCATCTGTGTGGAGCTTTAAAAATGATGCGATCCATCCATCACTTTCATCCACCCTGTTCCCCCCTCCCTTTCTCTCCCCACCCCCGAACTCTACTGCAGATCAAGGCACTGAAGTGGCCCGCAGGTCAACTGGGATAGGGAAGGTACACAGTCCAAAGTCTGCAGGAATGAGATAGACCTTCAAAGAGCCACTTGAGTCACTGTCTCATTCTGCTTTCTCTTACCCGGGGCAAGCCAATCAAGAGGTGACAAGGATGAGCCAAGCCAGGACGTGTACCCGGAACAATCCATTGTCAGTGGGATTGAGTCACTCAGCTTCAGAAAACTGTGACCATGAGAGAGTGGCTACCCTTTCCACCGCCCGTTTTATTCTCCGCTCTTTCCTGTTTAGCCAGGGGGAGTTCTGTGTATCTGTTTTTTTTTACATGGGGACCTCCGTGCATGTCTGGTGTCAGAATCCGGTGGACCTGTGGTCACTGCAAGCTCAGAATGAGGTCGGTCATGCAGGGTTGAAGCGAGAGCCTTTGCCTGGGGTCCCCACCTCGGCCCAGGGACCTCATTCATCTGTCACCTCCACTTTGTCTGGCCTGACCCCTGAGGCCATCCCAGGCTGTGTCGTGTCTCTTGGTGGATAAGTTCATGCTGCTTTTCCAAATCGCCTCGGAGCTCCCGCAGGCCTGATGACTCTGCGTAGTGTAGTGTGCCAGTACTCCCACGCGAAGTGCTCCGTTTTGAATTTTTCCCCAAGTTACTGGTCTGGTCAGCATCTGGGCACAGACCACACACCCTCCATTTTTAAATGCCAGCTGGCGTCAGGCTGCCTTTCTCCCCAGTGGCTGTGATCTGCAGGCGATCTGGCTGCATTTTTTCTGCATTGATGACAGAACATGGAGGCTTCACTTTTACGCAGACACAGCTTCTGATGGGAGAAGTGGCATTGCCATTTAAAAACAAATAAGGAGCAGTTTAGAGGCTTAAAGAAACAGGAAGCGGGCTCGTTGGTCTCGTCCGGTGTCCTCTGCGGGGAGCGCTGCCCTGCTGTCTCCCTGGGCTGGGGTCCTGAGTGGGGTCCAGCTGTGAGGCCCTGGTCTTCTTGACAAAGAGGTGGGCTCGGGCCACATGACGAACAGCCCAGGTGAGCTGTCAGGTGCTGTGTGAGGGTCAGAGGACTTACGGGGAGTTTTAGAGTGAACAGTGTCCCCCTTTGGACTTATGTCTTTAGGCATCAGGAGGTAACCTGGTGATAATTATGAGAACGTTAGAGGAAAACAATACATTTGTACAGGTTCAGCTTACTTCTCATGAGCTCATCTTGCGGGAAAGACATCTTATTTGGCCTCCAAACTGAGCCTCAAAGCAAACTTGCAAGAGTGACCAGAACTCTTGCAAATGATGGACACTGAATTGAGTAGCACTTGGGACACTACCAAGTCACCATTACTATATTCTGCTTTGTTGAAGTCACATTCAGGTGTCACAGTGCCTGCAGAGTGATTTGGTGAGGTACATTATAGTGACTTAATCAAGATTGTAAATATTTATGTGATTTTTTTTTTTTTTTTTTTTTGGCAAGAGAGAAGGATGTTAGCGGCTTTAAACTTGCTATCTTTTAGATGAGCACCCTGAGGTCCCGCTGAGTAGAGTGACCTGCCCAGGGTCACTAGATAATGAGTGAGCTGGTTGCTTGTGACAGAGCTGGCTTGCACACCTGTACTGTCCTCACCTGTCACACCTCACAGGCTCCAAGGAAGTCACCATGATTTCAGCAATAGGGAAGAGCTAAGAGCTAGTTCTCGGCTTTCAGCAAACACAGTTCTATCAGGAATTCATCAGCCTGCAATTTTGTGGGGGTCACCATTGACAATACCATGTGGACCACCTTTATTTATGGGACCATACAAAAGATGGACTTCAGTGTGTTGGCCAGGGTCATAGGCACTATGGAGGGAAAGATGGGTGTTTTGAGTTAGGTCATGGAGCCGTTTCTCCTTAAGTTGCCCTGATAAGAGAGGGCAGAATTTATGTAGACCTTGAAAATGAGGAGGGCCCCACAGCTTGCACCTTCATTCACCCTCTGCACATGGGGCAGTGGGAGCTGCTGGAGACGGACAGACACTATCGAACTTTCTCAGCCTGATGTTGGTTCCACTTTTCTCTTTCATGTTCTGCCCACGCCACACTTAAGCTCCCACACACCTCATTTTGAAAACAAAGGTTAGTTGAGCGTCTGGTCTTTGATTTATGAAGACCTGTCCAAGCTGAGGGTGTAGCTGAGGAGGCGTGTGTGTTGAGTACCTTTTTCGAGTGCATCTGTCACCACCGTCACCTCCAGAGCTTTCTCAGTGTCCCAAACGGAAACTCCGTGCCCGTGAAACACTAACCCCAGCCCTGTCCCCAGGTCCTGGTAGCTCATTTCACGTTCTTTTTCTATGAACTTCCCCACCCTCAGTACCTCCTAAAAGGGAGTCCCTACAGTGTTTGTCCTGTTTTGTATTTCTTCTAAGAAAGCTTAGCTGCTGCTCAAGAGACATTTCTGGGCAGTCTAGCCCCATTAGGACAGGTCCCAGGCACAGAGAGGTGCTGCGCATTCCAGCAGGAGGTCCCGGGGCCAGCCCTGCCCAGGCTGCCCTGGCACGAGGGGCTGTGCAGTTGCTGGCCCTGCGGCCTGCCAGGTGCTTCCTGTCCAGACACTGTGGCCGGTCTGCACAGCTTCTTTGGTTCTACCTGGTTCTTATATTTATTTGACCAACATCACATGGGGTTTTTATACCTTTTATAAAGCAGTGTGTATACATGGTAGACTATTTCAACTCTTCAAAGTTTCTATCTCCCACTCCAGCCCCCAGCTCTTTCCCAATGGTACTTGAGGTGGCCCATCCTCGAGCGTCTTTCCAGAGAGAACTATGTGAGAGTATGTGTGCATGTGTGCACATTTGTGTGTGCATGTGCAGTGCATATGGGTGCGTGCACATGTGTGCACGTGTGTGCTCGTGTGAAAATGTGTGTGTGCAGGCTTGCACACATGTGCAAGCATGTAAGTGTGCACATGTGTGGTGTGTGCACGCATGTGTAAGCACTCATGTGCATGCATGCATGTTTGCGAGCATTCATGCGTGCACATGCATGTAAGTGTATGCACACTTGTGTGCAAGCATATGTGTGTATGTGTGCAAGCATGTATGTGCATGCACATTTGTATATGTGTGTGCACGTTGCATGTGTCTATCATGCACATGTGTGTGATGCGTGTGCACACATATGTGTGCAAGCATTGATGTGTGTGCATGTGTGCACACATGCAAACATTCATGTGTCTGCATGTGTGTGTGAGCATTCGTGTGTGTGTGCACATGCATGCTCACATGTGCGCATATATGCAGTGTGCATTTATGCATTCATGTGTGCATGTGTGTGCATGTGTGTGCATGTGTGTGAGCATGCATATGTGTGTCTGTGTGTGCGCACATGTGTGCGTGTGCATATTGCACATGTGTGTTTGTGTGTACTCAGTTCTAGTGTGGTATATTAATCTAAGAGAGTGTCACTCACAGGCCCACATTTTAGGCCGTATCAATGCTTTTTCAACTGAATCAAGTTTGTGCATATTGCACATGTGTGTTTGTGTGTACTCGGTTCTAGTGTGGTATATTAATCTAAGAGAGTGTCACTCACAGGCCCACATTTTAGGCTGTATCAATGCTTTTTCAACTGAATCAAGTTGTAGATGATGATCACATTTGTTTCTTTTTTTATTTTTTTTATTTCCCTGACGTTAAGTCTCCTTGCCTGTTGGTTTGCCTAATTTTCTAAGTAGCAGTCACTCATTCCTCTCTAAACTCTGCAGGAAAAGGTGGGTCTCCTGTCAAAGATGAAATTGTCAGGTCTGACTTTCCTTGGCTGTCCTGAGGCCGTCCCCTCTCCTACAGCCCGGGCAGATTATCCTCAGGCCCTGGGGTCCGGCTGAGGGATCTTTGCCCGCTTTCTGGGGACCCTCGATTGTCTTGCTTCCCAGCTCATACTTCAGGAGCCCGACCCCCTTGGGGCAACCGATCCCAAGTGATCTTCAGAGTTCAAGGAAGTAACAAAGCAAATGACAGTGTGTGCACTAGTCAGGGTCCTTTGAAGAAGCCACCGGCTCTGTCGACAGCATCCCTCGTCCTCAGGGGTCTAGGTCTTTTGTGCGTGAGGCCTTTCCTGGCAGCCATGGCCCCCATGCCACGGTGGGCCATTTGCTCGCTGAGTCCACGGACGTACACATTCATCTCCCTGGGGCAGCAGTCGCCAGCCCTGCACACCGTGACCAAGCCACTTTTGGACGTGAGGTTAACCATCCCAGCAAGTGACAGGGAAACCACAGGACCTGCTGGTTCTGTGGGGGGCGCTGGGCAAGTGGTCCCCCTAAACACGTCCCTGTGCTTTCCCCAAAGCATAACCAGTGTGCGGCGTTCGGACAATGGGTCCTACATCTGCAAGACGAAGATAGAGAACGATGAGATCGTATCTGACCCCATCTACATCGAGGTGCAAGGTGGGTGTAGCGGTCGCTCTTAGGCTTTGGACAATGGTAAAGTGAATTTATTTCCTAAGGGTTTAGCGCTATCCTAGGCACTAGACCATGGGCTTCCTTGTCCAGAGGTTACAATAAAAAAGCTGACGACTCCTTTTAGAGAGTAAAAGTTCTCAGTGCTGGCACCAGGTACCTCCTACCTGGTCAGGTGATGATCTGCTTTTTACTCAGCACCTTTCCCTGTCTTGTGTGTGGGGACAGTGACAACAGGGGGTAGGTGGGGTCACAGCTGGCCTGGATATCCATTTTGGGGCCATGGAATTCGTTATGTGCGGGGTTTAGTTTAGTTTAGTATAGAAGGCTCATTGGAGGTGAGAAGTGGGATATGTGATGGGGCGAGGCCGCCTCTGCCCGGGGAGACCTTGAGCTCCATTGCAGACGTGAGCTGATGCCAGGCCAGATGAGCCCAGGTCCTATCAGGAAAGCCCTCAGGGAGGAATCACCACAGGATTGCTCGCTGAGTCCACGGACGTACACATTCATCTCCCTGGGGCAGCAGTCGCCAGCCCTGCACACCGTGACCAAGCCACTTTTGGACGTGAGGTTAACCATCCCAGCAAGAGGCCTTTCCTGGCAGCCATGGCCCCCATGCCACGGTGGGCCATCTGCTCGCTGAGTCCATGGACGTACACATTCATCTCCCTGGGGCGGCAGTCGCCAGCCCTGCACACCGTGACCACTTTTGGACGTGAGGTTAACCATCCCAGCAAGTGACAGGGAAACCACAGGACCTGCTGGTTCTGTGGGGGGCGGTGGGCAAGTGGTCCCCCTAAACACGTCCCTGTGCTTTCCCCAAAGCATAACCAGTGTGCGGCGTTCGGACAATGGGTCCTACATCTGCAAGACGAAGATAGAGAACGATGAGATCGTGTCTGACCCCATCTACATCGAGGTGCAAGGTGGGTGTAGCGGTCGCTCTTAGGCTTTGGACAATGGTAAAGTGAATTTATTTCCTAAGGGTTTAGCGCTATCCTAGGCACTAGACCATGGGCTTCCTTGTCCAGAGGTTACAATAAAAAAGCTGACGACTCCTTTTAGAGAGTAAAAGTTCTCAGTGCTGGCACCAGGTACCTCCTACCTGGTCAGGTGATGATCTGCTTTTTACTCAGCACCTTTCCCTGTCTTGTGTGTGGGGACAGTGACATTTGGCAGGGGGTGGGTGGGGTCACAGCTGGCCTGGATATCCATTTTGGGGCCATGGAATTCGTTATGTGCGGGGTTTAGTTTAGTTTAGTATAGAAGGCTCATTGGAGGTGAGAAGTGGGATATGTGATGGGGCGAGGCCGCCTCTGCCCGGGGAGACCTTGAGCTCCATTGCAGACGTGAGCTGATGCCAGGCCAGATGAGCCCAGGTCCTATCAGGAAAGCCCTCAGGGAGGAATCACCACATGGTCGCTCCCCTCCCCCTGAGGACTGCCGTCCAGATCTGTGAGGTGCCCTTTGGCCAACCATCAGGACGCCTTCCTGTCCAGTTTCTCCTGGCCCTCCCCATAACGGGCTATAGGGCAGGTGATTTAGCTTTTCAGGGAAGTTTAACTGCATAACCAGTGTGCGGCGTTCGGACAATGGGTCCTACATCTGCAAGACGAAGATAGAGAACGATGAGATCGTGTCTGACCCCATCTACATCGAGGTGCAAGGTGGGTGTAGCGGTCGCTCTTAGGCTTTGGACAATGGTAAAGTGAATGTATTTCCTAAGGGTTTAGCGCTATCCTAGGCACTAGACCATGGGCTTCCTTGTCCAGAGGTTACAATAAAAAAGCTGACAACTCCTTTTAGAGAGCAAAAGTTATCAGTGCTGGCACCAGGTACCTCCTACCTGGTCAGGTGATGATCTGCTTTTTACTCAGCACCTTTCCCTGTCTTGTGTGTGGGGACAGTGACATTTGGCAGGGGGTGGGTGGGGTCACAGCTGGCCTGGATATCCATTTTGGGGCCATGGAATTCGTTATGTGCGGGGTTTAGTTTAGTTTAGTATAGAAGGCTCATTGGAGGTGAGAAGTGGGATGTGTGATGGGGCGAGGCCGCCTCTGCCCGGGGAGACCTTGAGCTCCATTGCAGACGTGAGCTGATGCCAGGCCAGATGAGCCCAGGTCCTATCAGGAAAGCCCTCAGGGAGGAATCACCACATGGTCGCTCCCCTCCCCCTGAGGACTGCCGTCCAGATCTGTGAGGTGCCCTTTGGCCAACCATCAGGACGCCTTCCTGTCCAGTTTCTCCTGGCCCTCCCCATAACGGGCTATAGGGCAGGTGATTTAGCTTTTCAGGGAAGTTTAACTAGAAGCATCCTCCACTAAAAGGTCCCTCTGCTCCCCACTCTTTTGCAAACGTGACCCCAACACCCGCTAAGGTGGCAGGAGGCCCGAGGGAGGGCTGGATAGACAGTGCCTCAGGGTTATGTCGGCATGAGGGGGTCGAGGAGCATCCTACATTTGCTGTTTATCTGGGAAAAATTTTTAGAGGACATTTTATTCGTCAGAACCCCAGAAAAATGCCCAAGACAGGAACACGTTAGGTCCAAATGGAGCTTTGCAAAACTTGGAAGCAGGAAAAAGCGTTGTTTATCACTCCCACATCACTTCCCATTGGGGTCAGGTCTGTGAGTTCCCAGACCCAAAGAGACATGGTTTACATGCATGAGGACAGTTAGCTTCACCTGTTAAAGTGTGGCACAAGCCCCAAATAAGAGAGCTATTGAGTTTTCTCTGAGACGTTCCTGAAGTCCTTCCTTATGGCCTTGATCCTGGAATTAGAGTCGGAGATCTTAGGACTGTGGCTGTGTCACTGTGTCTGCAGTGTTCTCATATGACTGCGCTTTGAAAGGCATTCACACGTGCACAGATTTTAAAGTCCACCATCACCCATCTGAAAGCCTTACACGCCATAGCTTGTCCTCAAAAGCAGGCAGACCTGTTGTGCGGCTTGGTTGTTTGTCTGTATTTATTTTGGTGAGGAACACTGAAACCCTGCCAAGCCGCCCCAGGAGCTGGCATGAGTGAGGCCTGATCTTGAAACGGCCAGGCCTCCCCCTGGTGAAACCAGTCCTGAATCCCCATGACAACCCCTTTAGGAAGGTGTCCTAGAAAGTCCTCCAGAGCCAAGCTGGTGGGAATGAGCACGTTACCTTGGGAGGTGAGAACTGGCGGGGGAGGTACAGAAAGAAATCTGTAGCAGGCCCAGGTTCTGGTCGTTCCATGCCCTTGGGCTTTTGGGTCTGAAACCTTCTTCCCTTAACTCTTTCTCTATAGGACTTCCTCACTTCACTAGGCAGCCCGAGAGCCTGAACGTCACCAAAAACACCCCCTTCAACCTCACCTGCCAGGCTGTGGGCCCACCTGAGCCCGTCAGCATCTTCTGGGTTCAGAACAGCAGCCGGGTCAATGAGCGGCCTGAAAAGTCCCCATCCATCCTGACCGTTCCTGGTGAGTCCGAGTTGTGGGCTGGTTTCTTTATTTTCTCTCTGGTCCAGGAAGGGATGGGAATTTGCTGGGCACTGCTGGGTACCGGGAAGATGTAGACACAGGTGTGGCAGCCCAGGTGAGGGGCTGCTAGACAGGCAGGCAGGCAGGCAGGCAGGCAAGAGTCCAGCCTGGGAGTCCCCAAGCCAGGGAGTGCCAAGGGCATCCATGGGTCAGCTGAGGCAGTGGCCAGGATCCTGAGCTCGTGTCCTCCATTGCAGCTGTGGCCTCGCTGGCCCGGCAGGCCTGGTGATTCAGGGACCACTGCTGTGAAGTCACCAGTGAGGTTTGACAGCGACGCAGAGGCATGGGTCTGGGGCTGCTGTGGGTAGACCAAGTCATTGTGGGACTGTGGTCTCATGGTCATCTTGGTTTCCATCTGCGTGAAGGCACCCAAGTCGGTCCCCATCATTGCGTGTCAGCCCCGTTGGTGTTTCCATGCTGCCAGCGCCACTGGGCTCCTCTCTCCTCCCCTCGTTGTGACTCAGCAACATCGGGCCAGGGTGCCACCCCTGTGGAGGAGGAAGGACCTGTCCTGTACCCTCAGGGTTCTTCCAGCTGGTCTCACAAACAAATAGATGTGAGGCAGAGCAGCGAGAGACAATGACCGATTTAAAACACACATGTGTGTGGGAACCACGCACGCGAGAGTCAGAGACCCTGCATGACAGAAAGGGGACATGGGTAGGGGCCTGGGGCCTTCAGAAGGTCATCATGGGATGACAAGAAGGGCAGCGGTTTAGTAAAAGGAAGTTTGCCTGCCCTGTGGACGGGTCAAGAGAGGTAACAGTCACTGATGAGCCTTGCTGTGGGCATGGCTCCTCATTCAAGTTCCTCTAGGAGTGAGAGGAGGGGCAGAAGTTTCTGCTGAGCCTGAAGATAAGTGTGCCCTTAGCCCCAAACAACCCACGTACCAGAGGCACGCCTTGGGGTGGCTCATTCTGAACCCCCACACCCAGCCCTTCCTTCCTCCATGCGGTCAGTCTGTGTTATGCGTGAATCTCTGTGTGCAGGGGGTGTTTGTTTCTGGCTCTGAGAACACCATGGTGGCTCTGGGCCCCTGGCTTCCTGCTTCTCCCCACCTCAGAGTCCCCCTCTGCCCTTGGTGGGGGCTCTGAGTGCGGGGGTGCCCTCAGCTCAGCTGGACATACTTCTGTTCCATCTACACCCGCCCCCAGAGAGTCCCTCTGGGCCCTGGCTTCAGCACCGTCTGTGACCTCAAACTTTGCTCCTCCAGCCAGCCTTCCCTCCTGAGCTTCAGGCTCATGTATTCCACACCTCCCCGGCATTTCCTGGCTGGGTTTGTCGGTGTCTTAAAATGAAACCCATGACCTTCCCGACTTTCCTCCCAGAACCCCCCACCTTAAGTGATGTCACCATCTGCCATTCTTCCTTTTCCTTATTTCTCGTACGATGCCTCGGCAGGTTCTGTCAGCTCTGCTCTTGCCACGCATCTGAAATCTGTCTTCTCCGCCTCTGCTGCAGTGTCCTGGTCTTTGTCACCGCCAGCTCTTGCCACCACCACTGCAGTCACTTCCTAGCTGGCTTCGGTGCTTTCAGCCTTGTGCCGTTGTAATCCACGCCGGCTCTCAGGTGCGCTTCATCAGAGGAACCACCAGAACATGTCACCCACCTACTGGCCGATTATGTCACCTGCTGCTGGAAACACTTCCAGGCCTGATAGTGACTTCCTGCTTGTTTTAGACTGTCACCCAGAGTCCTTCCTGCCTCTACTTGACACGTTGTCCTCCCTGCTCACTCAACCCCATGTTTCATGTCCTCAGACACATCGCCCTCCTGGCCATAGGACCTTTGCACTCTCTTGTCTGCCTGCAGTGTTCTTCTGTCTGTCCTTTGTCCCATGACAGCACAAATGTCACTTCAGAGAGTCCTTCCCTGGTCACTGTTAACTGTTTTACATTCTCTATGTCCCTTTACTGACTCCCAACCACATATTCTTGGGGACTTCTTTATTGCACTTGTCTGTCTACGTGTTTAATCTCCTCCCCGGCCTTCTTAGAGAATACCTGCCTAGTGGGGACAGGGACTTTGTGTCTCCCAAGGTGGTGCCAACCTGCAGACGTGCTCACTAACCATTTATGGCATGAACGACCAGCAGGTGCATGCCAGCCCCTTGTGCAAGTCTTTCGAGGGACACATATTTTTGTTTCCTTTGGATGCATAGCTGGGAGGTGGTCACATGATAGGTGTATGTTTAACTTTTAAAGAAAGCAGGAGACCCCAAAGGGGTGGCACCGTGTTGCATCCCCCACCACGTGGAGCACAGTCTGGCCAGCATGCATATGGTGGGTCTTTGTAATTTCAGACACTTTAATGGGCATGAAATGGTTGGTTATTGTGGTTTTAATTTGCACTTCATTTCTCTGGCGTCTGATTTTAGATTGGATTTAGAAAAGACGTCTTGTGCTTGCTGACCAATTCTAAATCCTTTCCCAATTCATCACTATTAATAAATAGAAAATAAATGGATTTTTGTATATTGATCTCCTATTCCACCACCTTGCTATGTTCACTTATTAGGTCTGAGTTTTTGTTGTACATGCTGTGGTTTTTCTATGTGGACACTGGTGTCACCTGGAACTAGAGAGAGTCTTGCTTCCGCCTTTCCAATCCCGATCCTCTCATCTCTGTAGCTTGCAACCTGTTTCCCTGGCCAATACCTCCAGCACAGGCTGTATGGAAGTGGTGACAGTGGCTGTCTGGGCACCTGATCAGCCGGTGTGACATTAACTGGTTTTTGTAGACGCCTTTCATTGAGCTGAAGGTGATTCCTCCTTGTTCCAGTTGGCGGAAATTTTTATTTGTTTTTTTATCACGATGGGTATAAAATTCTATCAGATTTGTTTCCCGCATCTACCGAGATGTTCACATGGTTTTTCTCCATTATTCTCTTAATGTGGTACATTACGCAGGTTCTATTTTCAAATGTTGTCAGTTTGATTATACAGGATGCAGATAGGGTAAGGTCTAGGGGGACCCTCCCAGGCGTGGAGCCTCCGTGCCCTGCCCTCACGGAGTCAGGGTGTGCCACCCTCCTGGCTCATCGGTGTGTTCACCGAGCAGGAAACCACACTGGCCTTTGGAGTCCAGAGTTTTTGTTGGGGTTTTGTCACATTGGCATAACTGATGAAATCATTGACTACTTCTCTGGGCACAGTCCCCAGGACCCCCTCCCCAGAGGCTGGAGGTTGGGTTGAGGCCCAACCCCTTCATCATGTCTGTCGTTCTGGTGATCAGCAGCTGTCCCAAAGGTGTCTTAGGGCCCACCCTGAGTCACCATGTTAGCTTAACAAAGCCACTCTCATCACTCAGGAAATTGTAAGGGACAGACAAAAGCCAGTCAATACTTAATTATACAACAGGGCTCTTGAGGGAAATTGGTTGATAATTTGTTTTTTAATGTCAGCTTTGGTGTCTGGATATTGCTGACCTTGGAAAACCAATTGGGAGGTGTTCCCACCTCCTATTTTCTGAAAGAGTTGAGCAGCGCTAGTGTTACTTTGGAGAGACGTGTTTCAAGTGCAGTGGAGGCTGCACCCCCGTGTTTCAGACACTGTTTCTGGCCATGCAGACTCTTTTGATAAAGGCCGATGCACTGGTTAATGTTGAGTTAGAGGTTTATTGAAATTCCCAGGACTTTTTTCCTGTCAAATTGCTGCCAAGCCAAAGCGCTCTGGCTTCTTGTATATTTAATTTTTTTTTTTTTTTTGAAATCTCAGCCTACCATGTGACATTTATCCTTATAAAAATGTAATCCATTGTTCTAGCCTCCCTAACCCATTTTGAACCTCGACTCACTGGATCGGCAGATTTTCTCCCTGCTTCGCGCCAGCTGCTGTTCTGGTCCGTTTCGGGTTCTTGAGGGCGCAGTTCCCATCTGAGCACGCGGGGACCTGCTGACAAAGGCGGCTTCTGAGTCAGCCTCAGCCCATTCAGTCAGCTCTCTTGGCTGCCGTTCTCGCCTCTGCGTCCGCCTACGTTTACTGTTTCCACCATTTATTTCCCCATCTCGTCTTCTAGGATGAGATGTTCCTTGGTACACTGGGCTGGGAACCATCATGGTAAGACTGGAAACGAGTCTGGGATTTGGTCTGAAATCAGCTGGTGAGCTGAGCCGCTGGATGTGGCAGGTTTCCACGCCCTCCCGGGCACCGATCCGCTATCCCCCCTCTTCAGTTTTGCTGTAACTTCCATCTCTTGGTGATCCTGTACTTACCAACCAGAGTCAGTGTCATTTTCTTTATGGAAATGGGGACGCAGTCTGTCCACCTCTGCTGGACGTTTTCTCAGAAGTCACAAGCATGCTTCTGTGATAAGATCTGCACGTTCTTTTGACACTTGAGGTTCCGTGTAATTTGTCTCAGCTCAGAGACCTGGTTGGCTCCTAACTGGCCAGGGGCTACCCTTACGACTGCCACCTACTTAGGGCTTTAACTTCTTTACGGTCTTCATTTCACTTTGTCTCATTCGAAGATTGAGGGGGGTGCAGAGAAGGAAGATGCAAAATAGATTTTTATTTTTTTAATGTTAACTTTGATATCTGGGTATTGCTGACCTCAGAAAAGATGAGTTTATAACCTAAGTGTGCTTTTAAAAACAGTCTTAATGTGCTCCTGTGGTTGCATGAAGCTACGCATGTGACAGATTTCTGTAGAACCACACACACACACAAACACACACGCACGGGTCCGTGTATAACTGATGAAATCCCGACCTGCCCTGCAGCTGGTGTCAGTGTCAGTGTCCTGGTTTTGACAGTAGTTATGCGAGACGTTCACACTGGGAACTTCAGGGGGAGGGTACATGGAACGTCCCTGTACATTTCTTTACATCTTTTTGTGAATCTGTAATAAATTCAAAATAAGTTTTTAATAAACTTTATTTTGCACAATTATTAAATGATTTTATGTTAAAAATGTAGAAAATGCAGAAGGGTATTTTTA